CTACAGTGATAGGTGACTGGAAATCAAAGGGAAGTACTTACGAGGGTTATCATCCCGTGTGTTCGATGGCCTGGGTGTGAAGCTTAAAGAGAGGAGCACTATAAAAGCGATGGTCTGAAAAACAAAATAGAAACGTTGTAGGTAGGTGTTGATTTTCTTGTGTAAAAATATTCAAGGACAAAAAATTTGAAGTAAACAATGAAGTGAAAAGAAATTGCCAATTATTGATTTTGCAGGTGTATCACCCTGCTCACAAGGAACTCAAGGTCGCCGCTCATTGCTTTTTTCGGATTCTCTAAGGCAATCGTACGAGTCAAATCTGTGTCTATCTGAGACAGTTACTTTCTCCGAAGCAGGGCCGGATTAACTTACTTGCTTCCATGGGCCGACTGTATTTTGTCTCCCCCCTCTCATTCATTTTGAAACATCAATAAAAACCATCAAGTGAACGTGTTGGAGAGGGAGGGGTGCCTAAGGCGCGTTTACTCGTGTTGGATACATTTTTTGCGAAAGCCCTGTCAACACTACTGGCAAAAGTTCACGGAACTTGGTGCGAAAGTTAAGTTCCGTAAACCTATCTCTGTGCGGACAAGGCCTTCCATTTGTATGAAATGAACGAAAAATGTATGAAAGAACAAACATAAATGTATAGTTTAATAATTTTAACTTCCGCCGCCACGCCGCGCTGACTGCACTGTGTTTGGCGCAGTGCGTGAAGTATTCTTACAGTCTTGTATGCGCTATGCGTTTCACGCCGACCGTTGCTGCACGGCGTGCACGCACTGTGTAAGACGCAATGCGTGAAGTATTCATGCAGTCTTATAGGCGCTATGCGTTTCACGCTGCCCGCTGCTGACCGCGGCGACCGCGTGCCGTCTTTGACGCAGTGCGTGAAGTATTCATGCAGTCTTGTAGGCGCTGATATGTCTTACATGCCGACCGCCGCCGCCGCGCCGAAGGAGGGTTTCTCCTTTTCATCTCAAGTCCTCGTCATCATTGCTCTCTGCACCGTGCTGTTCTAAGCCAAATTCCGTGTTCGGTTTCTCTCTTAGTCTTAACTCGACTAATGAAAGGTGCTGTCCATTGTATCACAGAAAGACGACAAAACTAGAGATATACTCTCAGGAAATGAGAGATTTGGTCACCTTATCTCGTTTGTAATTGTTTTTTCTGAATCCGATTTTTCTTTATAGCTACATTTAAAAAAATTGCAAAATTTGCCGCCTCCATGTGGCCACCCTCTAAATCCGGCCCTGCTCCGAAAACCATCTCCTTATCGGGATGTAAGGAGGTACTGTCGATGTTAAGTACAAATGGAGGGACCATTCAATGCCCACAGCCCAAGTAGCACAGAGCAACAAAAATATTTGAAATTAAATTTCAATTTGATTTCAATAAAATTGTAATTTTTTACCATTGAATTGCAATATTTTTTCATCATTTAGTCGATTAATACCGATTCTAAATAATCAACAAAATGAGCTCCATGTGTTTGAAAGATAAGCAAAATGCAATGCAATGGAAAAAAGCAACTTATTTCAAGTTAATTGCATTATGTTTGAGGAAATGGGGCCCTTTCAATTAGGAGGTAGGCAACATACACAACAATCAGTGGAATTTCAATATGTTTACTATGCAAATGCTACTTATTACAATTTGTGCTACTTGGGTGATATCTATCGTTCTCTTTTGAAAACAATGGAATGCTGTCATCCTTATGATAGATTGGTAAAATAACTACTGAAGGAGCGGCAACTTACGAAGTGAATTGCTGCCAGCATGTTCACTCCGACCTGGAGTGACAAGCAGTAGCAGAAATAGTTGAGCTTCATCTTGGCGGCTGTCTCGGCGAAGCAGAAGAGAACGAAAACGATGCGCAGGAGAAGCCACGGCAAGAATTTTCTTGTGAATTTGTGCATCAATTTTGACGGCTGAACCGCAGTTTTCTCGAAATTTTGTCACATGGTTCCAATTTTTTTCCTCAAATTTTTTTACGAACAATAAAGGATTTTAGGTTATGAAAAGTCGAACATGGAACCATGATTTGTTTCTATGGAGCAAGATTCTTCTTTTTGTCGACAGTGTTGCCAAGTATAGAATTAATGGCCGAAATTTTGATCATCGGTAGCATAATCGGAAAAAAGCTCGGAAAAAGAGCCCCCTTCAAAAAATGCAAGTTTGCTAAATTGACGTAGAGGTTCGGAAAATGTTGTTTCAATGGGTAATGAACCCCAAGGAATTTTGAGGATACCGTTGAACCCAGCAACTTCCCTGATTGGCTACAGGGGGGACCCTGAGCTCGTGAAAATCAGTAAGGGGTCCCGGTCCCCCCCGTAACTCATCAGAGACGCGCCGCTGCGCTGGAAGCATCGGCGTCCTCAATTTTGGATTGTTTGGGTCGATTACCCATATCTGAAAAAAAACCTTGGTCAAGTTTCATTAGCCTGCATGATGAAACCCGGTTAAAAATGATGAATGGGAAACATTTTTGAGGATCCAGTTGCCCTCAGCAGTCAGCGGCTTCTCTGATGAGTTACAAGGGGTACCGGGACTCCTCACTGATTTTTACGAGTTCAGGGTCTCCCATGCACCACATCAGAGAAGTTGCAAGGAGTAACTAGATCCTCTAAAAAAATTTCCCATTCATCATTTTTATAAGGGTTTCATCATACAGGCTAATGAAACTTGCCCATATTTTTTAAAATGGTAATTTAAGGAAAATTTACTTGCGCGTATTCTTTTGGTTTTTCTTTAGCTTAAAAATTAAGAGAATTTAAAGTAAAATTACTCTTTTCGAAAGCAAGAGAAATACAACAATCATCAATCCAGTGATTGGATTGGCCGAGTTCAAACCTCCTGTTTAGACCGAATTCAAACTTCCCGCTTTCTCTACTGATCTGCTTTTTCCGTCTGTAAGATCCGGAAAACTTCCGGAACTTCTCCCGGAACATTGGCCGCGAGAGCAAAACATCAACATTACCAACTTTTCAGGTTAGTTCATAGTTCACATCACACATTTGTCTTTCTGCCTTGATATTATTTGTAATATCTCAGAATTTCACACTTTTACCTAAAATCTCATCACATCTTAGTGCGCAATCGTTCTTTTAACGTCAGTAGAATGCTAACCGTAATCTCTCTCAAGAGCACGTCATAACCCGGTATTCTTATCTTACCTGTTCCTTGATCATTTACTTATCATATTTTCGGTGAATAAATACTTTATACCCGAGTACAATTTACTCAACTATTTATCCACATGGGGGTTTTGTTTTGATTTAACTTGTAAAAGCGGTGAAGTGGTTTTTCTTTAAGCGGTGCTCTCTTCAGCGACAAGTTCTTCGACTGAAAAGCATTCCTACTATTCCCTGTCCTGGGTGTGACATAACAGGTATGGAGATTGACCTTTATTGAAGTTTCATTTATCCAACATCTCAATTCTGCTTAGTTCTTTCTAAACTATCTAATAGAGCATGAACCCAACAATTTTGTTAAGCGGGTCCTCAATGTGTCAGCACACTTTGACGATCCGAAGCGATAACCTCCCCTCCTGGTCATCGAAGATTTTAAGATAGAGTGGAAGTAATTCCGTAATGCAGACATCCGCTCTCTGTAACTGTATTGTTTGGGGTATTTCTTTAAAATGAACTTTCACTCTAGTTCCGTATGTTGTAATGGTTTCAATATTGCTATGTCATGCATTATCATTGTAGGGCTTTTTTTTAATCTGTGGAACGCATGGAATGCAATGGATCAGGATCTCAGCGGTTCGGGCCAGTTCAACTGGCCTAACCGTAGCCTCAACCCATCTTGGGAGAGCGGTACAAGCGTTCCACTGGAATGCATGGAGCGCTCCAGTGGAACAGGACAAAAAGCAATGCATTCCGTAGCGATCCTCTGCGGTTTGGATAAAAAAAAAGCCCTTGTGTATTGCAGTGTTCTAAAACACATTTTTACGTTAAGCGATAGTTGTGATCCTTCCATAATTTTCTGTGTCGTATTCATGGTAGGCAAGACACTTGTCCTGGCATTTAGGGAAGTATTTTGTCTGTACCGATTCAGGATCTCTACGAATATTTTATTTTCCCATCGAGAAACCATGACACGAATTTATCTTAACATACCTGTCAATGTCTTTTCCCACAAACATACTCAAAACTTTTGGAAGTTTCAAGGAAATTCATTTGTTTTGTCCTCATATAAAATGGACCGAGTTTAACAGATAGGTATCAAGCCACATCAACTATTGCCAAGTTTAACTGGGCAATTAAATTTTTTACGAGAGAACGTTTGTTCGGATTTCTTCGAAAATTTTAAGGAATTCGCTTCGTGCCATGGAGAATTTTTACTGAAATTTGTACGCAAATCGGCATAACCGTTTTCATGTAAAATAATAAATTGCCCACTTAAATTTGGCAATAGCTGATGTGGCTTGGTTCCTTTCTGTTTAACGCCCCGCTCTCTGTTTCCTTCCTGGTCCGTTCCTGTTTAATAATAGAGTGATAATGTGAAATACTAAAGCAACGCGATGAGGATAAATTTCTTTGTGTTGGAAATGACATAATGATTTCCAGTGAGCTGGTTCTGTAGACACATCAAGAGCTGCTTGCAGACACTCAAGTACAGGCTTTCGGTTATGTTGCAATGAAAGTTAGATCCAATTTTAATACAAGGGTTTTCAATGATAGACTCAAGCTAGCGTAAGTCTACTGAAAGTATTATTAAAGTAATATTGATCCCTCGGAACGGATGAATCGTGTAAAGTCTTTATCAAACACTACAGTGCGCTGATTATTGAAAGATTAAAGCAGCCCGATGAGACCTCAAATTGCAATATATTTCATGGTTAAGATAGGGCTTTGACTTTTCTTGTCAGGCTGACATACTTTAAATAATCGGGCCGCAAGACTGGTGATTTCACATAATTTTTATTGTTTAAGAATCGAAGTCACTGTGTTTTATCATCGGGTCACATTTTGAATCTGAGATTAATGCTGGATAATGGATTCTGACCCAGAAATTTCTTTCCGGGCAATATTTCCAGGCAACATGTAAATTGCCTGATTCAGGTTCTTTGAAAGTTACAAAGTTATACATAGAATTGTGGTGCTTCAAAGTTTACATCGCTGATTTTGAACCTTTTTATTATTTTTTGTAAGGAGTCAAAGAAAAGTGAGGGAATCCCAGCGCCAGTGGTCCGGAAATTTTTCAAACAAATTACGGAATTTTGAAATTTTACTATCATTACAACCCTGAGAATTTTCAGGGGCTAATTGTAAGTTTGCAACAAGTACTGGAGAAATCGACAAAGAACTTTGAAGTGCGACTCGTGTGATTTCTTTCAAAATCGAGTTTTTGTTAGGTACTTTTATGCGTCCCATGACTCTTTAAGTATATCAAAAAAGCTCCAAAATTATTTCATGAAGTACGAAATGAAATTCAATGCTCAGTGACAAGTGCTGCCGCCGAGCGGGCTAATGATTGCAAGTCCTTGAATTTCAATGGTTGATTTACACTCCTTATCATTATGTCTGCGCCACCACTTCTCTCCAATCTTACTTTGATAAGCTCTTAATCACTCTGCTTAAATTTATATTTTCTTTCCTCACCGTTAGTATTAATTTGAACTCGTCGTTGCACTGTGTTATTAATGCTTGATTCATCTTATTTTTTTTTTTTTTTTTATTTTTTT